ATAAACGTTGAAAAAAAAAATTAAAAAAAAAAATAAAATAAAAATTAGGATTAATGACATTATATATAGAACAGAAACCAGCAGAGCATTATATGAGTACAGTGATACTTTGTTAAGCTAAAGAACAAATGAATTGTGTTTTTGTCCACATAGGTTTGGGGCTTCTGAATCATTGCTGCTGCATAAGTATCATACCCTTGGCATTTTGTTTTTGATGGGTCTTTGTTCAAATTTAAAACTGTGAGCAAATATGCTCACTGTATAACTTCTTAATGTGTGTATGTGTTTTTTTTATGATAGCTCATAGTAAATTATTCATAACCAATCATTTTTCAGATTTATAACTACCTCGACAAGTATGTTGTTGGCCAATCATTTGCTAAGAAGGTGCTTTCAGTTGCTGTGTACAATCATTATAAGAGAATATATAACAATATCCCAGCTAATCTGAGACAGCAAGCAGAGGTTGAGAAGCAGACATCATTAACTCCTAGAGGTTAGTGTTTTGATAACTGACTAAAATAGAGTGTACATACTTAGAGGTAATCTTTATTTGCAACTCCTTGCTTTTGTCCTAAAATTCTTTTAGTATTTCATAAAACTTTGTTTTCAGTTATATGTGCATGGGTTCTGAGTCACAGAGTGAAATGTATTTCTTATCAAGGGTCTCAGTGAAAAATGTTTGAAAGTAACTGGAGTAGAGATTGAGACATAATCTTTGAATTATAGACTTCACCACAATTGGTTCCCTATTACCAGATCATGTGCCTCAGTCAGAGATGTATGAAGGTAGATGATAACTGTCACACAACATATCCAGCATTTTTTCCTGTTTAGACCCCAGCTACAGAGTGTATGTAAGATTAAGGGCAAATTTGTATAATGCCCATTAATGATAGATTCTAATATTACTGATATACTATATAATTTAAATTTACTGTAGACAATAATGTGTGTTATATTAATAGGATGATATTATTTAAAAAGCTATGAATAGAGTAAAATGCAAGTTTTTTAAAGTTTTTTTTTGTTTTTAATTGGCCAGGGAGCCCTGATTTCTTATTTAGGCCTATAATATACCGTTTTACATTCTTTTAGTCATCATTTTACAATTTGAGGGAGTTCTACTAAATACTTATATTTAAAAAACTATATAATATCCTTTGATTACTTTTGGTAGCTATTAAATATATAACTTACTGGCTCATTGAAGACAACTTGTTCACTTGTTGAATTTACTGTAAATAGTTATGTGGTAGTATCAGTTACTTTATTTTTAGAAAGTATAAGTCATAATAACTAATGGAAGACCCGGAGCCTTCATTTTTATAAAGTCCAAATAGCATTATCTGGTCATGACACAAAACGATTTTTTCTGGTTCTTTCAGTCAGCAAATCAGTAGTTAAGGTGTTCGAAGTATAGGGAAAACAGATGGTTATACGGTATTTATGATATGAGCAGTTTAAACTTTTGTTGAAGATTTAAATTATTGCTTCTGTTTTCTTAAATACCAAGTTAGTACTTGACAAATGTGGATATTAGCAACTGGACAGCCATCGTTAACATGTTTGGGTTTTTAATGTTTTTAATATAGACAGGATGTAACATATAGATTTTTTTCATAATGTGAAAAGCTACAAAGCATTAATGAACACATTCTTTGTGTATATTTAGAAGAGGGCAAGAAGGGAGAGATCCCTCATTTCTTCCTCCAAACTAAACAAATATACATTTTCATGTTGTCATTTTATCCTCTTTCTTAGAATTAGAAATAAGAAGACGGGAGGATGAGTACAGATTTACAAGTAAGTGACCTCTCCTCAGGTCCTCCTCTGTAATCATTCTTCCTTTTGAGATTTATCTCAGTGAAGGATGTCAGCAGTAGTGATGGTAGATATATATTAGCTTGTGTATTACCAAGAAAGATACTGTATATTATCTAAACATGCTTATCATACATGGTATATATAACTTTGGAACAGTTTTTCATAGCTAGCATGTGTACTTTATATATGTTGGGTTACTTCACATATTCAATTTTTATCTTTTCTGTTGTGATATTTCTTTTTTTTTTTTTTTTTAAATTTTTTTTCAACGTTTATTTATTTTTGGGACAGAGAGAGACAGAGCATGAATGGGGGAGGGGCAGAGAGAGAGGGAGACACAGAATCGGAAACAGGCTCCAGGCTCTGAGCCATCAGCCCAGAGCCCGACGCGGGGCTCGAACTCACGGATTGCGAGATCGTGACCTGGCTGAAGTCGGACGCTTAACCGACTGCGCCACCCAGGCGCCCCTGTTGTGATATTTCTTAAAGTATAATGTTAGAGAAATAAAAAATATTATATATAGTTCTCTATAAATATATACCTATATGCATATTAACAGGAGTTGTGTTTTTTAAAATCTGTAGCTTGCTATTTTATATCTTTTCCCCCCCATACAAGCAGAGTTGGCCTGCTTATGTGTGACAGAAATTTTGGGGGAGACAGATTATCTTCCAGATTCCCTTTGCCAGAAACCACACTTTTTATTTTTGGTGTTTATGAAACTTGGTATAGCCTTGCAAATTATGACTAAGCCCCAACTCAGTGTTTCCAGCCCTGAATTGTCCCTATAAGCATCAGATAGTCTGATGGAGGGTGTGGAAGGACCTGATATAGTGGCCATTCTGTTGTCTTGCATGTATTTTTTTGGATGTGGATATGTAGTGCTGCACAGATGGTAAAGGCTCACAAAAAGAGAGGCACCTAGCTGGCTCAGTTGGAGGAGCATGTGACTCTTGGTCTCGGGGTCATGAGTTCGAGCCCCATATTGGATGGAGTGATTGCTTAAGTAAATAAAATATTTTAAAAATTCACGTTGCATTTTGTTTCAGTAATTAAAATAACAAAATAAAACAGATAAGCCACTATGAACACATTTTACCTATAAGTTTGGTACTTTTATATTTGCCTTTGAACCAAGCTATATTATGTATCTACTGTTTGAAGTATACTGTATATACTGGATGAGCCATGAGAATATAACTAGTTTACCAATTCTGGCATGAGATCTAGTGCATGTAATAAAATTGTACTATTTCTAGTTATTCTTAAATTGTATGGAAATAATAAGTATATCATGCATGGTAAGATTAAATACAATGCAGTAGAATTAGATTATATATAAGAATGTAAGATCTAAATAATAAACTTTAAGTCCATGTATAATTTTTATTTTCTAAACCAAAAATATAATCAAATATGCTGTCAGTGCTATATTCATAAATTTGGACAGATAACTTGTGAAGCTAGTATGAATTAAATTAGTAAAGGAAAGTCTATAATGAATATTTTGAAAGAAATATATTGTAGTGATTTAATGAAATTTAAATGTTAACAAGTAATACTATCTAAGAACCTAGGTAAAAGCAATTCATAATTATAATGACAGATTGACTTGGAAAGTAATATTTTGAAAACTTAAATAGAATTTATTTTCATGTATAGTTTCCACTTGTTATATGTGGGGTTATAGGTTCTAAAGTTAGGACATTAGACCTAAAATGACACATAATCAAAATATTCTTTAAAGTTTCTTTTGGAAATCATATGTCAGATATACTACTCTCAATAAGACTGATAGATTTTGTCTCCATCATTGGAACATAATGTTTTTCTTAAGTTGAGCACCAGATGAAACAGTTGGCTTGCATTAAGGGCTATGTTATACAAGTAACGTAAACACTAGGAAAATAGCAATACTGATAGCAAATTCTTTTATAACATTTATAAAACTCTGCCAGGTACAGTTCTAAGTGTTTTACATATTTTAACTGATTTAATCTTCCTAACACCTATGAGACAGAAACTATTATTTTCACCTCCATTTTATAGATAAGAAAAGTGAACTACGGAAATTTTAAGGAATTTGCCCAGGGCCATATGGCTAATGAACTCCATGCAACTAACCATACACTAGTCTGCTCACTGATTGTAGAGAGCTGCTTCATGCATTGAGAGAGATGCAGAAAAACAAACTAAATGAAAGGAGAGTTATTTCAGGTTTACTCTGGAGCATAATTTCATGAAATGGAATGACAAACATCATGTACTATTTAAATTATTCCTCTCTTTTAAATTTAACTTAAATCATGTGTAAGTCAAATACATTTATCCTGAAGTGCCTGGGTGGCTTGATTTCAGCTCAGGTCATGATTTCGCAGTTTCGAAAGCTCCATGTCAGGCTCTGTGCACTGACCGCACAGAGTCTGCTTGGGATTCTCTCTTTCCCTCTCTCTCTGCCCCTCTCCCGCTCCCACTGTCTCTCTCAAAATAAATAATTTTTTTAAAAACTTAAACACATTTACTCTGTGACTCTACTGTAGTTAATATGCTTCTTGCACTTCTGTTCAAATTTTTGTTCACCTAATAATTTTTACCCCATTGGGCCAACCTACACTCGAGCAAAAGCCTCTTCCTATATTGTGACAATTCCTAACTAGATTTTGCTGAAATAAAAAAAGAAATTTTCTTTTACTGGGGACAACTAGCTAACTAAACTCATGTAAGAGACAGCATTTTTTTTCCTGATATGGATTATAATGAGGCACAGCATTGTGAATTATTCGCTAATAACCATCAAATGTAGCACAATTTAAAATGTTTATTGAAAGCCTATTTTTTTAAACTTTATCTTTATTTATTTTGAGGAAGATATAGAGAACAGACGAGGGAAGGGCAGAGAGAGAAGTAGACAGAATCCCAAGCCGGCTCTATGCTGTTAGTGCAGAGTCGGGTGTGGGGCTTGAATTCACGAACCATGAGATCGTGACCTGAGCTGAAATCAAGACTCAGATGCATAACTGACTGAGCCACTCAGGCGCCCCTTGAATGCCTATTTTTGATGATTAGAATAAGCATTTACTTTTTTTTTTAATTTGTTTATTTTTGAGAGAGGGAGAGTGTGAGTGGGGGAGGGGCAGAGAGAGAGAGGGAGACCAAGGATCTGAAGCTGTCTGTGCTGACAGCAGAGAGCCCAATGTGGGGCTCAAACTCACGAACCATGAGATCATGACCTGAGCTGAAGTTGGACGCTTAACCAACTGAGCCACCCAGGTGCCCCAGGATAACCATTTACTTTAAGTGTGACCCTAAGATAATTTGAAAGTGCCAGCCAGATGGAATAGGACCATAATAATAGTTACGTTAACTGAACATCTATATATTGGTTTGATTAAAACAGTAATGCATTGGAAAGTACTGATATTCTTAATCCATTTATTAGAAACAACCTAAAAACAAATCCAGAAAATATAAACAAGTAGGATACGAGCACAGATTCCTCAAATGCTGATGATGAGGAGCAGTATGGATATTTACAAATCTGGATAACTGAAAAGACTATTGGAATTCTTTCCTTCAGCCCAGAGAGTAAGAACAAAGTTGTTCTGTTTTTAGGCACCCAATTGATAAACTGATAGTTCACCAGCAATACCGTTCCCATTTAGTTAAGCATTGTGTGTCTAATAAAGGGACTGGAAAGATCCATTCAAGATCCTATAAAATCAAAATTCAGATAGAACCAGGGATAGTGAATCTTACTGTATTTGGTTCCTCTGGTAGACTCACAGAATCATTTTTTAGATGTGAAAGAGACTATAGAAGTCATATATCTTGATAATTTCATTTAATAGGTAAGGAAGCAGGCCCAGTAAAGTTAAGTGATTTGCCATGGACCTACAGCCACACAGTGATAGAAAAGGACTAGAACCCAGGTTCCCTATTTCTCTGTTTTAGTCTTGGTTGTCTTACTGTGTTCACTGTGTTCAATGTGTCTTGCTTTTTCTATAGTCCTTCGTTTGTAATGAAAAAATCTATATATATTTGTCTTTTAAAGTGCCTCCAAATGAATTGCATTTTATTCTTATACCTTCCAACCATGTGTTTGAAATTGATAGGGCAGGTATTATTGCCATTTTCTAGGTTAGGAAACAGAAACGCAAAGTTTATATGACTAGCCCAGGATCACAGATCTTTTTAGACACAATGGAAAGACCAAAGCTAAAGCTTTGTGATTGTCAGCACTGTTCTCCTTCCTTTACACTGCCTTCCCTTAAGTTAAAGGGATTTACGTAAATAAGGAGGGTAAAAAGAATCCATTTATTTTACGTAAGGTTCCCTGAATAATCATATGTTTTACATTTGTGACTAGATAATTTGAGGTTTTCTTCCTTTTTAGGTAAGACAGAATATCAGAATATTTGTTTTTCTAAATATGTGATTGGTCTTAGATTTAGGGTTTTATTGGTTATTTTTTCAAGTAAGATCAAATGAAGCTCTAATAATTTCTTTGTCATTCTTTCAGAATTGCTTCAGATTGCTGGAATTAGTCCACATGGTAATGCTCTAGGAGCATCAATGCAGCAACAGGTAAATCAACAAATACCTCAGGAAAAACGAGGAGGTGAAGTATTGGATTCTTCCCATGATGACATAAAACTTGAAAAGAGTAATATTTTGCTGCTTGGACCAACTGGGTCAGGTAAATAACTTCCTGAAAAAATTACTCATAAAAAAAAAAAAAAAAGAATATAAATGATTCTGCAAGCTGTGTCTTATGATTGGGGGATTCTGGCTCTTGGGAAGAAATCTAAGGGCCAGTCCTTTGGATACATTATTAGTATCTGTGCATAGACTTCAGGCTGAATTTGAGGAATTGGCAATGCCCTTTAGCCCAATCCCTAACATCTTAATAGGAGTAATAAAAATAACATACCATTAAATCTGAACAATAGTAGAGAAAAGATGTATAAGTAATTTTTTATTATATACTATTTAGATTTAATACATTTTACATTTTTGTAGAGAAATTGTATATCAACATATTTTTCGTAAACTTTTAGTTGCTATTTCTATTTGTAGGTAAAACTCTGCTGGCACAAACTCTAGCTAAATGCCTTGATGTTCCTTTTGCTATCTGTGACTGTACAACTTTGACTCAAGCTGGATATGTAGGCGAAGACATTGAATCTGTGATTGCCAAACTGCTCCAAGATGCCAATTATAATGTAGAAAAAGCACAGCAAGGTATGTTTTCAGTATAGTTTGTCTATCCCCAGATGTAGACTATTGGGAAAGCATTAAGAGATCCTATAATTCTTGTTTTGAGTTGAGGAATAAAACTTTGTAATTGTATAAAGGTAGCTATGTTAAACATTTTCTAGCATACTAAGGGCCACAAAGTTTGCTTTTGCCTTATTGTCATAAGATGGCTACTAGGGTGAAAACAGGCCAGATTATTATTCCATTAGATCCTTAATGCTATCATTATTTTTCCTGTTCTGACTTCCCTCTAGACTCCTGATCCTGGGGTGGGTTAGGAGGACAAGGACAAGGGCAAGAGAGTGTAGGATGAATCTAGAAACAGATTAGCTTGTTGACCTACAGGATGTCCTAGATGCTGCATTTCTCCTTCCCCATCTATCATCTGTCCTTATTTACATGAAGAGCTTGACAAGTTCTTGTCCAAATTCCTTTAAGACAAGAGTATAGGTGGGAAAGAGTAAAAAGTTTTGCTAGTACCAGCACTGTATATACCTCCTGCTTCAAGACTATACTTTTATCTCAGCCTCGTAGAATAAAGAACCTGAAAACATTAGTGGGGTAGATAAATAATGTCAGAATTGTTATCATACCCTAGTGATGCTCTATGAAATAAATTATAAAACATTTACACAATGATGAATGGGAGATCAGGCAGTGTATTTTTATAAAATTAAGCTTTGTATATATTTGCTCTCTAGCTACTTAGTCTTTTAAAACTGAGGTTATCTTGTGTATATCATTTTCATATTATAAATAGAATCCTCCTTAAATTATAGGAATTGTCTTTCTGGATGAAGTAGATAAGATTGGCAGTGTGCCAGGCATTCATCAGTTACGGGATGTAGGTGGAGAAGGCGTTCAGCAAGTAAGCAGTTGAATATTTTGTTCAAGCCCACTAAAAGGAAGGGAATACATCAACCTCCCAAATATTGTACGTTTGGTTTCGCATTCAATTAGATTCTGTTTTGTTTATTTCTTCCACCCCAAACTCCACATACCATTTTAAAGTAGTTCAGAAAGCTGTTGGTGATTTTAAGTACCAAATTACCTTTCTTAGGAAATTAAAATTATTTTAAAGAATAGAAAAAAATGACATTTGATTTTTGTTGGTTTTATTCTTTAGAGGCCCAGTTAAACATTTCTAGATGACTCTTGAAAGTTCTGGTTCTATTTAGACATAAATGAAGTATGTACATGTATCTTACTCTTTTCACTTGACAATAGGATAAAATAGATAAAATAGTGTTTCATTTCATGGAGAGTCATAAGTGAAGTCTTAATGATCTATTTGCAACTTGACTTTTTATTGGTAACTAATTATGACATAAACTGTAGGGTAAGGAAAATTGCTTTCATTTTTATTTTGACCAAGACAAAAAGGTCACACTTATAAAGTGTGCTAGATAATTTTTTTATAAAAGCCTCCCAAAATATAGGTAGTCTCAAAGTTTAATACTAGGAGTAGAAAAGAATTTTAATTTCTATGAAAGACAAATCAACTATTTTCAAATTTTCAATGTTCCTACCATGGTTGCCTACCATCTTACAGAGTCATAATCCTGTATTTAGGTCAGAATTCTATCTTTACCATCAAAAGCAGCTTTCTAAGTTGACTATTTCCTGAGTGCATCAGGAGTCTGTAACTATTCCAAATAAATTTACGAATTGTTAGTGTGATAGTGGATTTGATTTTCATGTTAGTTGTAGCAATGTGGGAGTTTAATTATGCTCATTGACCATAACCACATTATTTTCCCCTTTGAATCTCATTATCTAAAGTACAATAAATAATACACTTACACAATGATGTTATAAATCATTTATTCTTTATTTAGGGGTTATTAAAACTACTAGAAGGCACGATAGTTAATGTTCCAGAAAAGAATTCCCGCAAGTTACGTGGAGAAACAGTACAAGTTGATACAACAAACATCCTGTTTGTTGCATCTGGTGCTTTCAATGGCTTAGACAGAATCATCAGCAGGAGGAAAAATGAAAAGGTAAGTTTTTCTGAAGGGTTATTAGGATGGAGCACTTCTTCATATCTGCAAGGTACATGCCTAGTAACTATTTGTTGATTGATTACAATAAAATGTCATGTCAACATAGTGTCAAGCAGCCCAAAACACACCAGTATTTTCCATGTTTTTGTGTTTTACATAATCGGTAACCACAAATGATTTCTTTTATATAACATAATATTCTACCTAAATGAATATATCATAGATCAACTGTGCTACATTGCTTGCTTTAAGTCTCCTTGGCTTTGTACCCACTAGTGTAAGTAGTAGTTTAGTAGCAGTAAAAAAATAATGCTGCTGATGGGATGGTTGCCTGTGGTGGTTCTTTGGATAGCCTAGATAAGAAAAAAACTCACGTACGATACTAACCGAACCATGTAATGCTGTTATTCCTCAGTATCAGGCCTTATTCAACATGGATAAGGTTAGATCTTAATTTTTCATGTTAATTTGTTTTTGCTTTTGAAATTCTGCTTAGACTGACAAATTGGAAGAAATCATTTCATTGTGTGTACATGAGAGAGAAAGAGGGAGGGAGATAACTTTATATTTAAAATTCTGGGGGTGCCTGTCTGGCTCAGTCACTAGAGCATGAGACTTTTGATCTTCGAGACGTGAGTTTATGCTCCATGTTGGGTGTAGAGTGTACTTTAAAAAAACAAAGAACATGTTCTGATACTTAATTATAATTAGCTATTCCAAAAAGAATTTGCAACTTGGAACATGTAGAAAAGAACAGTTAAAAGTAATGTCCAAAAAGAGATCAGAAACATGTAGAAGGAAGGTTTAGGTTGTAGGTCATTTGAACTTCTTAACAAAAAGTAGGGAGACATCCTGGGCTCTAGTTCTTATTATCTGAAAGAGAAAGTGTATGAGGTCTTCAGGAGAGACCGAGATTGAAAACGAGTTTGTCAGGGTGCCTGAGGGGCTCACTCAGTTGAGTTTCCAACTCTTGATCTCAGCTTAGGTGTTGAGCTCGGGGGTGTGGCGGGAAAAAAAAGAGTTTGTCACATAGATCTTTATGAAAAAGAGAGAGATGTAAGACAGTCATCAGTAGTGATTTTACAGAGGATTAAATACATCCATGTGGCTATTTTTATCAACTCTTACTGAAAGCCAGGGGTACAATATTAAATACTGCACCTATATTCCAACCATATCAGACTGCTTGCATTCCTAACTTTTATTCCTCTTGCCTTTGTTCATGCCTTCCCCTACCTCAATCAAGTTGGCAAATATATGTTCATCTTTTAAGACTCAGTCTGTTAAGATGATCTTGATAACAGATGATCAGTCTGTTATCAAGTCTGATAAACTGGTCAGGCAGTTTATCTGTGAAGGCTTTCTTGATCATCTTCTACCCTCCCTCCCTGCTATGTGCCTCTTTTCCTACTTCCACTGCTACAGTCCTGTACAGTCCTGTGATACTTTTAACGCCTTCATGTGTTCTCACTCTGAATAAGCCCCTTTAGGATAATGGCTGTCTTCAGGTTTGTATTTCCAGTGTTTTATAATGTTTTGTAAATTATATATATATATATAATTGTAAATTATATATATTATATAATATATATTTATATTATATAAATTATAAA